ATACACCACTTCTCTAACGCTCCGAAGAGATCCCAAGCTGATCACGCATCCAAGAAGCCACCCGACAATTATTCGACTCTCGGCTCATCATGCGCTCCTCTCTTCTACTGGCATCTGCTCTCGCCATTGGCGCCTTGGCCGTCCCTCCGACCCGACCCAAGGTCAACAAGGTCAATGTCGTTACGGAGACTGAGTTCGTGTACTTGACAGTCACCGTCTATGTCACTGTCGATGCAACTCCTCCTGTCTGCGTCTCTACGACTCCGCTGCCTCCACAGGTGCCGCGTCCCGCCAATTCTGTCAAGACTCCAGCTGCGCTCCCGTCTGCTCCGACCTTGAAGCCAGTCAATTCTGTCAAGACTCCAGTAGCACCCCCGCCAGCTCCAACCCCAAAGCCAGTCGATCCTGTCAAGACTCCCGTGGCCACCCCTCAAGCTCCGGCCTTGGAACCGACTCCTCTGGTTGTAGCCCCAAAGCTACCTTCTTCCAAGCCTACCCCGACTCCAGCACCCACACCAAAGCCTCAACCGCAGCCAAAGCCGAGCACTCCCCAGCTTCCTCTGGCCCCAATCAGCACGCCTCCTGCTCTCCCATCACAGGCTCCATCGATCGATCATGGTCCGGGAGGACAGGGTCAGGCTTATCTTTCCTCTGGACAAGAGTATCGGGATGCTGTGCTCTACCATCACAACGCTGCTCGCGCCAATCACGGCGCTGTTCCGCTAGGTTGGGATGAAGACTGTGAGGCGAATGCTCTTTTGGCAGCTCGGAGGTGTACCTTTCAACACTACATTCCTCCTGGTGCCCATCAAGGACAGAACCTCTTCACCGTTTCTGGCGACGCATTCAATGTCACTGCAGGAATAACCGAGAGCTGGTACAAAGGCGAACTTGCCGCAATGATGCCATGGTTCGGCCAGCCTGATGTGCCTGACAACGTCTTTCATGATGTTGGTCATCTTACGCAATTGGTATGGAAGGGTACGACTAGGGTTGGTTGTGTCTCGATCGACTGCGGCAACTTCATGATGGTCGGTGGCCAGGTGTCGTCGATGAACAAGTACACGGTCTGCAACTATGCTCCAGCAGGTAACATGGGTGGTGATTTCGCTAGGAATGTCGCTCCGCCTATTTCCCTTACCAATCTGGGCGGCTGGGCTGATTAGGTGTCGATCGAGCTGATGATTTTTGGTTCTCTTATCGTCTCTATACTTACACGGGTCACCGTCTTTCATTCATGTAAGGAAGTTGCATTTCATTCCAGGAAGGCTGTTTGTATGAGGGATGATTCTTCAACCTTTGTCATCAGGGTAAGGGACGGGTTTTTGCAGATGGATGGGGCCCGACTGGGTCTGCCGTGCAAAAGATTCAGTGTTTCAAGGACACACTTTAGTGTACATACGTGGATACATTCAGTGTGAGGGAGCTTCTCCCGCGATCAATGTGACATGATTATGAACTCATCCGAGGCTGTTTGACAATACGTGATGCTGACAAGTGGGGTTGAGGGAGTGCAGAATCGAGGGGATTGACAATGGTAGTACTTCCATTTAGTCCATCAATTCCAACACAAGGGCTACACATTAATTTAATCCTAGTCAGACCTGAGTCATGCAGTTGTCCACTCTCCAAAGCTGACAGATAGTATCGTGTGTGGAGAAGCAGATAAGAAGACTGAAGCGGTCCACAGGGCCCACTCTGCTATCTGCACCTGCATTGCCCAAAATAAGTTCGATAATGCAATTTCGTTTTCTGCCATGGTTGGAGAGGGTCGAGATCTGACGACATGCAGGCCAATATTGCCACATCGCTTGATGACGGAAACAAGAAAAGCACTGCCGGTCAGCTGGAGCGCAAGGGATGGGGAATCGGTGGAAACAAATTTGAAAAGCCATGCCGAGCCAGTCAAACAGCGGAGATTACGTAGTTGGAGTTTGGCGGGGGAGGGGCTGTCGGCAAGGCTGGCAGCGGCGGAGCTCATTTGATAAATCTCGCCGCATTTTCCGCATTGTCCTAAACTTTGGAATGCCCCGGCTTCTCTGCAACACGCACGCTGCTATATGCCTCAGGTGCGATACAATCTTCGAGGATCCTGCCTTGCTGCCCGGTCTGCCCTCCACAAGCCTTGCGCCCGTGTAACCCCTCTCCACGTTCCCACCGCCTCGCACATCAGCCTTCCGCCGCCGCCACGGCGCACACTTCGCACCTCGATACTCCAAATGGCTGCACACGATAGGCCGGGTGGCGCGCCCTCGCTCGACGACAAGCTGGAGCTGAAGAACAGACTCAGCGAGAGCCGGAGCCCCTATGTCCGCGGCCACATGAACAATCCCGTCGCATGGCAGATGTGGGGTGCGGAGGCCATCGCGCTGGCAAAAAAGTCAAACAGGCTCATATTCATCAGCATCGGGTACGCGGCGTGTCATTGGTGTCACGTCATGGAGCGCGAGTCCTTTGAGAACCAGGAAGTCGCCAACCTGCTCAACGAGAGCTTCATACCCATCAAGATTGACCGTGAGGAGCGCCCAGATGTCGATCGCATATACATGAACTATGTCCAGGCTACTACGGGTTCTGGCGGCTGGCCACTGAACGTCTTCATTACCCCGGATCTGGAGCCCATTTTTGGCGGCACCTATTGGCCCGGTCCAGGGTCCACCATGGGCATGGCGGAGCATGTCGGCTTCGTCGGCATATTGAAGAAGATTCGCGATGTGTGGCAGAATCAGCGCCAGAGGTGTCTGGACTCGGCCAAGGAAATCACAGCACAGTTGAGGGACTTCGCTGAGGACGGCAACATTAGCCGGAAGGACGGTGCGGAACACGATGGTCTGGAGTTGGAGTTGCTGGATGAAGCATACGAGGCAAGTTACATGAGAATTTAGTACCAAGATTGATCTGACATTGTGAAGCATTTCAAGAGGAAATACGATCAGGCCCATGCTGGCTTTGGTGGCGCACCAAAATTCCCAACACCTGCAAATCTCCATTTCCTCCTGAAGCTCTCGCATTACCCAAGCGCAGTGACAGATGTCATTGGGGCTCAAGACTGCACCATCGCGAAGGACATGGTGTTAGCTACCTTGGATGCCATGAACAAGGGAGGCATACACGATCAGATCGGCAATGGCTTTGCGAGATACTCGGTCACAAGCGACTGGAGTCTGCCGCATTTTGAGAAGATGCTTTATGACCAGGCACAATTGCTACCGGTATATTTGGACGCATATCTTATCACAAAAAGCCCCGATCACCTCGCTGCTGTTCACGACATTGCGACATATCTTACTACTCCGCCTATGCAGGCTGAGAGCGGAGGCTTCTTTTCCTCGGAAGACGCGGATTCGCTATATCGACCGCAAGAAAAGGAGAAGCGCGAAGGAGCCTTTTATGTTTGGACGCTGAAAGAGTTTCGGGATATTCTCGGCGATCGAGATGCGGAGATACTGGCACGATACTACAATGTGAAAGATGAAGGAAATGTGGCACCAGAGCATGATGCTCACGATGAACTGATCAATCAAAACGTACTGGCAATCACCACAACGCCCGGAGACCTGGCAAAACAGTTTGGCCTCGCAGAAGAGGAAGTAGTCAGAACACTCTCAGAAGGCCGGCAAAAGCTCCTCGCACATCGCAACAAAGAACGCCCACGGCCTGCTCTTGATGACAAGATTGTAGTATCATGGAATGGCCTTGCAATTGGCGCCCTGGCCCGCACTGCGTCCGCACTCTCCTCACAAGACCCAACACGTTCGAAACAATATCTAAACGCTGCAGAAAGAGCCGCCTCCTTCATCAATAGCGAGCTCTACAACAGCACATCCAAAACCCTAATACGCGTCTACCGCGAGGGTCCCGGCGATGCACCCGCCTTTGCAGATGACTACGCCTACCTCATCTCCGGGCTTATCGATCTCTACGAAACCACTTTTAATGATACACATCTCTCCTGGGCCGACGCATTACAGCAGACTCAAATCCGCCTCTTCTGGGACAAGGAACGCCTCGGCTTCTTCTCCACCCCGGACAACCAAACCGACCTCATCATGCGGCTGAAGGACGGCATGGACAATGCGGAGCCTGGTACTAATGGCGTCAGCGCCCGTAACCTTGACCGCCTCGCCGCACTCCTCGAGGATAGCACGTACGCCCAGATGGCGCGGGACACGGCCAGCGCCTTCGAGGCAGAAATCATGCAGCATTCCTTCCTCTTCCCGAGCATGATGGACGCTGTTGTCGCAGGGAAACTGGGCGTTCGACACACCGTCATCACGGGCGAGGGCGAGCGTGTGGACGAGTGGTTGAAGCGGTACCGTGAGAGGCCTGGGGGTTTGGGCACAGTGAGTCGGCTGGGCAAGGAGCTGGGGTCGTGGATTCGGCAGCGGAATGCATTGGTAGCGAGTTTGCAGGTGGACAGGGAGGGCATTATGGTGTGTGAAGGGGGAGCGTGTAGGGAGGAGTTAAGGCTGGATATGGGGGGTTTGGAGGATGCGGTGCCGTCATTATGAGGGGAGGGCGGCAATTTGGGGGGTCTATTTATTGCGTGAGGTTATTTTGGGTGGTGTGGCATGCTTTGAAGTTTTGTTAGGTTTCTATATCATTAAATAGGTACCTACGTAGGTAGCTTGCTCTGTGTTTGGAAATTTGGAGTTCCAGAAACCACGAATTAAAAGATATCCATATCACACTTGCAGCTGCAATCTTCTCATTCTCAATCAATATCTCTCGATCTGTATCATGTCCTCCTTTGCTTCCGACCAATTCGCCGTCCCAGTCCAATCTTCTCCTAATCTAACCCCCCTCCGGACCCACACCCCCATCCCCCATCCAAAAAAAATTCTCCCACTGCTCCACCCGTCTCCACACCCCCCATCCCCATCTGCCATTCCAATTCCAAATTCTAAAATCCCCTTGCACCCGCCCGTTTCAACCTGTGTTGTATTTGAGTGAAGTAAATTGGAGATTCCTTCAACGAATCACAGCACAGCAGCGAATCCGGTCGATTAGCTCAGTTGGTTAGAGCGTGGTGCTAATATCACATCAGCGATGGTGTGAGAGACGCCAAGGTCGCGAGTTCGACCCTCGTATTGACCATCGGTTGCGCTGTGAGGTGGTTCTTTTTTTTTTCTTGGAAAGCGTTTTTGCTGGGGACGGGGGAGAAGGGAGGAGGAGGGTTACTATGCTATGCAGGATATATACACATGATGATGAGATGTGTGTGGGATGCTATTTTTTGTGTGACAGGGTAAGAGGAAATGGCTGGAGTGGTTGCAAGTATGTATACACCTTTTCAGTGAGTGTGATAGATGTACATGGCACCGAGAATATATCTACTAAACCCCCGTGGCATTTCGCAAGGCTCACCCCAACACCCAAGTACCATCACTATTCGAGCGCCGACCTCGTCACCTCTGGATCCTTTTGCAAAGGCTGAGACTTTGGGTGTGTGTGCAGGACGGCGATGGAATTCTTCTCTGCGATCTTGTTGTTATTAGCTGTTGACGTCCTCGACAGATAATCAGCACTCACTGCACAGCACAAACAATTTCACGTTCCCACAGTCCTCCCACCTCAATGCCGGAACCATAGTCGTCGCTCCATGACCTCGTACTCTCTGTATACTTTTATACATCCCGACCCTTTGACTTCTGAAAGAACTTCGCCTTGACCCTATGGGACAGTTCTGTCTCCCGATATCCAATGTAAACTTTGGAACCCTTTTGAAGAATTCCAGCACATACGAGCGAAGCACGCGAAGCTGTCGAAGCAGAGAGACGTAAAGGTTGTATGTCTATGCAGGACAGCGGTGAAGTGTATCTCTGCGTTATTATTACGATTAGCTGTCAACGTGCTCTGCGGGTCATCATCTCTCGCTGTAAAACATACACAGTTCCACGTCCCCACGGCCCCTCAGTCCTAGCATCTCTACCTTCGTGCTTACGTTCCCATACCAATACCCCCTTGAAGCCTAGATCCTCTTCTTCTCTATTCAACACATCATACAGGCCCGCAGCCCTTCAAATCCCAGTATCTCCATCTTCGTCCTCGCGCTCGTACGGAGTATACCCACGCAGTCTGAACATGCAAATACCACACAGCTAGACTACAAACCACAGGTCCCCGCAGCGCCTCGACGCCAGTATGCCTAGCGTCTCGCTTGCAAGCATGTTGCTGGGAGATGTCTAATCTTAGCTTGGCCAGTACCACGCTGTTGGCCTTGTTCATCCCATGGCCAGCCAGTCTGGTGTATTTTAGTGAAGAGAAAGTGGTGCGTTTAGGGACAGAGAAAGTAATGAAATGAATGTTTCAAAAAAGTGGAAAGAGAAGTATTCACGCAGACAGAGACTCATCAAATACACTTTCTCGAATACATTTCTCATCCTGGGCAGGCATTACTATCATACACATAACCATCCTGCAACCCCCTACCAGTCAGTCTGAAGATCTATCTGAAGAGACGCTGGCCTCAAGACCAAAGGGTCGTGCCGAGAGTCAGGATTCTCCATTGAAGGAGATTCACCCTGCGGCACACTACTGTCACGGGGGTTAGCTTTCTTACTCTTCTTCGCCTTCTTCTTTTTGCCCTTGGGTTTTTCCTTTACCATCTCCATCGTCTCGACGCTCTCCGGCCACGGGTACAGATGCATACCATCCCCCTTGAAGGGGAATTTCCGCATGTACTGCGAAACGTCCTTCTGGAACCGCAACAGCTCCAGATACCCCGCTACCTCCTGCAGCACATCACCTGTCATCTCCACCGGTTCTCCATTGAACTCGGGAATCAAGAGCAAGTTGTGTGGCTGTGCATTAGCCTTGAGACTGGTATCATCGATGAGAATTGTGTTGTGCTGCCCGAACGTTGCTCCAGTCGCGTACTGTGGGTGACGGCGCTGGATGTCCGCTTTGAGCCAAACTGTCTGCAGGTTCTTGTAAACCTGCACATTCTGGTTGTAATCATTATTAGGAAGATTAAATGAATCACGGGCTAGTTGGGCCACAAGCATGGGCTGGTACTCGGGCTTCACAAACTGCTTCACGAGATCCCTGACGTTCCCGGGCTTTGCACTCGACCACACCATGACCTTGAAGTGCTGGAAACAATAGTCAAGGAACGGCTGCAAAAACGGACGCTCGATCATTTTCTTCGCCTTTCTTTGTTTGTCGGGTCGAAAAATCAAGGTACCGTTGAGGTCAAGGATGACTAGGTGCTTGGCCGGAGACTCAGAAGCTCTCGGCTCCTGCCATGCTTGTGTGAGGTACGTCTGGAGAGGTGGCGGGGCCGGGCGCGGCTTCTTCGCATTGCCATACTTTTCATTCCAGGTTAACGTGGAAGCAGTCTTCGCCACGGTGGAAACACTAACACTAGTAATCTTGTTAGTCAATGACTCGCCGGAGTCGCGCTGAGCAAGACGGTGGAGGCTGGCATACTCTCTCTGATTAGCCTGGCCGTGCACCAAGGCACCAGGCTTGTTCACCAAACTTGACGCGCTAGTAACTTTGTTGATCCTTGTATTGGTGGTGTCGCGCAAAGCGACATGGTGCCGTGTGGCATACTCTCTCGACTTCTCGTGACGGTGCGCAGCGGTGTTAGACGCTTCAGATCCTCTAGGAAGTGTTCCAGTCAGTGGACCGATGGCGTCGCTTTTGGCGATGCGGCTAAGAGGGTCATACTGATTCCTTGCGACCTGGGCATTGGCAGCAGCAGGCGGTTCGTGGCTGGCAGCAGTACCAAGACCGTAGGGGTTGGCACTAGAGAATGCCAAAGTGGAATTGACGTCTAGGGGCAAAGAGGCATTGGGCTGCATAATTGGAGGGCCGTAGCTCTGCTGTGAGTAGGCCCCGTGGCTTGGCTGCCAGTGTGGTAGAGGCAGCGACCAGTCATAGTAGACAAAATTTGGTGGCGGGGCATAGACTGGAGGGTGGGAAAGGTATACTTGCTGTCGCGGGTAACCATCAAAAGAGGGTGCGTTGTGCTGATATGGCACGGCCTGCGGCGCATTGCTGGCGGAAGGAATTGGGGTCGAGTTCAGAGGTTGCGGTGAAGCGTCTGGCTCAGCGTCTGGCTCAGCGTCTGGCTCAGCGTTTGGCTCAGCGTCTGGCTCAGCGTCTGGCTCAGCGTCTGTCTCAGCGTCTGCCTCAGCGTCTGTCTCAGCTGGAATATAGTCTGGGCGAAGCCAAGGCGGCATTGAGATCGCATCTGGATGCCTCTCTTTCGATAGCGGGCTAGAGTGCGCAGCTTGAGTTGACGTTAGTACCTGGGGGGGAGGCGACTCCGTAGTTGTCAATCCCAGAGGCGGAGATGGCGTCGCAACGGGAAGTGAGCTTGGCTCCTGGCCAGGGGGAGAGTGCGCAACTGGGGGAGAGACGCGTTTTGGGGGCGGTGGTGTCGCATTTCGGGGAGCATTGCGTGAGTATATGGCGGCCAGGCGGAATGCCTGCTCTCTCGGCTTCTGCATGGTGAGCTCGACTGCTTCGCCATCTTGCGGGCAAGACTCCTTAGATGCCGCGGCCTGCGCATTCAGGTCGTTGGCCATGTCGATACCTGGTATGCCGGCGCAAGAGCTCAAGGGTACGGGAGGGTTTGGGCGACCAGGACAGGTCTTGTCAAGATTAGCAGAGGAGGGGTTGAAGGTGGCGTGGAGGGTCGTATACCGAGCTGGCGCGAAAGACGCCATTGAGTAGCGGGGTAGGTGGTATGAGCAACCGCCCGCGGGAAATGAGGTGCGGGGTCGAGAGAGGAGGTGAAAGGGAGAGCAAACGCGAAATTGAAGGCATTCACGACAAACGAAGCACTGTTGCTCGTCATGTGAGACGCGATGCCTAGCGGGGGTCGGTCACGTCGGCGAATAGTAATGCCGAGGCGGGGCCCAAAAAGTTCCCGAGCCATTGAGCATCAAGCCAGACGAAGCTGCAGACGAGAAACCACAACAACAGACAAGTGGCTTGCGACAGAGTCTTTGGTGGTGCAACTCCTTGCAGCATGCCGCTGTCCGCCAAACTTGACCGCAAGTTGCGTCCAGAAGAGGAAAGCTCAGATGGCGAAGACTACTACGAGGTCACGGACCGATCTTCTTCCGAGTCTTTCATCGAGACTGGTGAAGGGGGAGATGTCATAAGCTCGGGAGACGAGGCGGGCGACGCGTCTGAAAATGATCTGGTGTGTTTTAACGACTCTCAAGTACAAGCCCAATGTTGACACAGAGAAGTCAGATGCTTCCGACGACCGCCAAGTACAGGCACAAATAAGCAAAGTGTCTTTTGGTGCTCTAGCCAAAGCTCAAGATGCACTGTCGAAGGAACAATTAGCCAGCCGGAAACGGAAACGCGGAGATGAGACTTCACAATCGCAGGAGGACAAGCTGGAGGCATTGAGAGAGCGGTTGCGGCAAATCAAGGCGGCGAAACTTGCAAATGGAGCGCCATCCAGCAAGAAGGAAAAGACCGCGACGAAGAAGAAGAAGGCTCAAACCCAGGATAGCGAAGACGACGAGAGTGCAGACAGCGACAATTCGGATTCGGATGCAGCACCACGCGCGCGTTCCAGCAAACATGCTCCAGCTGTGCAGTCGAGCAAGAAGATGGTCTCGCGCAAACGCCAAGTCGTCGAGGTCAAGAAGCCAGTATTTCGAGACCCTCGCTTCGACAACATATCGGGGCCCCGGCCAGATGAGCTTGCACTCGGAAGACGCTACGCCTTTCTGAACGACTACAAGGCGTCCGAGATAGCCGACTTGAAGAGCACCATCAGGAAAACAAAGAACGAAGATGAAAAGGAAATATTGAAGAAGAGGCTCATGTCTATGGAGTCTCAAGAGCATGCCCGAAAACGAAAGGAAGAGCAGCAGAATGTTGTGCGCGATCACAAGAAGAGGGAGAAGGAGCTGGTCAAGGAGGGAAAGCAACCGTTCTACCTGAAGAAGTGTATGTTTCTGTTCGACTGGTGGCTAAGATTGGGCTATGCATGCTGACTTTCTCTTCTAGCCGAGCAAAAGAAGATTGCTCTCGTGGACCGTTTCCAGAACATGAAGGCAAAGCAGCGCGACAAGGTCATCGAGCGTCGCCGCAAGAAGGTTACGGCAAAAGAACGAAAGAAC